TCTATTATTTTGAAAACCTTTATAAATAGAGAAAATCTGACAACGGCAGAAATGTTCAGAATGTTGAGCTCTACCTATTGACCATATACGTCAAAACTGTTAGAAGATTTCTTATAGGAGTTATTGCTCTTAAATGACAAATTTTACCTTTTTTTTTTCATTTTTGCCTATTATCTTGAAAACTATAATAGATAGAGAGAAACTTTAAAATGCAAAAATGATCAGCAAGACAATTTCTACAAATAAGTCTGCAATTGTCGAAATCGTCAATCGACGCCTTATTAGAGTTATTACCCTTTGACGACAATTTTTACCAATTTTTTGCATTTTTGCCTTATCTTAAAAATTATAATAGATATGTCATGGTGTGTTATTTGGCTTATATTTGTGTTAGTGTTATTTTGGATAAAAAATATGTTTTATCTTTTAGAGAGAAAATTTTAAGTTTGTATTTTGTAAAATTTTTAATTAATTTGTTTAATTAATTTTACCTATCCTGTGGCATACTCGAAATGTCACAGTTTGCTCAAAGCACTTTGATTTGAAATAATAATTGTAATTAGCATATGTCACTTGGAAAGTTTAAGATTTTATCAAAACATTATAGGATTAGGCTTTGTTAATTAAAGTCTATTTTTGCTAATGAGAGTACTATTGACATGTCGAGTCTTATTCATTAGTTTTTGGTTTGAGTATAAATAGCGTTGTAAAATTTGGAAAAGCAGTCACCTTTCGGAAACCTAAACTTGCACTGCTAAAGTCTACTATACTGGATCTGTAAGACTGTTGATCAGTCTACCAGTTGACTTTGTAGTGTTTAGACAAAAATGTTTATTTTTGACTCACCTTTTATTTTTTGATATTTTTTTAGAAAACAGTCAGTGTTTCGGAAGCGCAACCTCTCACTACTCACGTCATGATACTGGACCTATAAGACTGTCTACCAGTCTACCAGTTGACAGTGTAGTGTTGAGACAAAATTTATCTCTGACTCATAATTTAACTTTGGAAAATACTTTTGAGAATCTTTTATTTTTGAGACTTTTACATTTTGATTTTGAGATTAAGTTCATTTTATGATTTAGTAGTTTTGGCATTTATTTTACATTTTACATTGTAAGGAGAAATAGTTTTACTTTGGATTTGATATTAAGTTTTGATACTTTGTACTTTAATTATTATTATTATTTGGCATTGTTTACTAATTGATTGTTATCATCATTCATCTAAATTGTTATCGTTAATTAAATTATGAAAACCTTCCTTGCGTTTTAGCTATGCCTATCAGAACATTAAGTCTAGTGATAGACTGACCCCCTGTCCCTTGGTTCCGGCACATACGAGTTAGCTCCCCCTTTTCTAACAGTGCTCTGGACCTTGGTGACAGATATGGTGGAGGACCCGGGCACGATACAAATAAGATTCTGAAACTGCATAGCTAGAATGTAGGTTGGCAAAATTCATTCAAAATTATCTAAAACTTAAATTTTCAAAATTGAGACAACAGCAGGAGAGACAATGAGAGGAAGAGAGAACCAGTAACAGCAGAGACAAGTTGCAGATTCAACAACACACAACTAAAAGATAAGTACATCTTACTTATTATATTACACTTTAATATTTTTTAGTGAAAAGTATAGATGTATGTTGATTCTTGGTGTGAATCTGTAATTTTATAATATTTGTTTGTGCAAAACTTTACAGAAATTAACATTCAATTCAGGAGAAATATTATTTGTGCAATTTTCTTTGATTGGCAAATTTGAGTCATAGTAGAGAAATTAACATAAACAAGATACTGACAAAATTCCTTTTAGTTTCAGTTTGGTAATGGGAATAGAAAAATCATGGGAAGAAAGAGAATTTCAAAAGGATGGTGCTGCCAAAAAGACAGATGTGCCAGGCTATCCAGTGTTAAACCAGGAACAGCAAGTTTCCAGTTCACAACAACCATGGAGAGGAACTTTGTTGAAATTGGACTAGAGAACCTTCAAGTGAGATGTTTAGTCGACAGTGGAGCTTCTTTTAACTGTATCAGCCAACATCAGTTGTATCGTTTAAACACCACTACAGCAATACAGAAATCAACAATCAGTAGTGCAATAGGTGTCTGTGGAGAAGTACATGCAATAATCGGTGAAATAGTGCTACAACTTTCTTTTGGACAATACAAAAATAACCAGAAATTCAGAATTTTTGAAACGCTACATGCAAAAGCTATTTTAGGATTGGATTTTTTGAGAGACAATAAAGTAAAAACAGACTAAAAGAACATAACTTTGACATTACCAACTCAGATCATTTAGACATTAGTGAATATCATGAATGTGCTTATCATGTTACCATAGCAACCTTCCAAGACAGTAGTACATAGAAAACAATCAGTTTCTTTCTTTTTTTTTGTAGTTTTAGGAATTAGTAGGAGTGCACACCTGTTGGTTCTTTTTACTACATCAATTTGAATTTTGGATCAGAGGGATATTATTTTATAATTCATCTGTTAAATTTCCTTACAAGGAATACAGGTTGCTGGAAGCTAGCACGTTGAAATAAATTGTTGGTATATTTATTTTTTGACACCAGGTTATAGTTTGTACAGAGTGTATTCAGATTTTTATAGGTGTTACTAATGTGAATGTTTATATCATGTTTGGGGACAAACATATACGAGTAGGGGGGAATATGTCATGGTGTGTTATTTGGCTTATATTTGTGTTAGTGTTATTTTGGATAAAAAATATGTTTTATCTTTTAGAAAGAAAATTTTAAGTTTGTATTTTGTAAAATTTTTAATTAATTTGTTTAATTAATTTTACCTATCCTGTGGCATACTCGAAATGTCACAGTTTGCTCAAAGCACTTTGATTTGAAATATTAATTGTAATTAGCATATGTCACTTGGAAAGTTTAAGATTTTATCAAAACATTATAGGATTAGGCTTTGTTAATTAAAGTCTATTTTTGCTAATGAGAGTACTATTGACATGTCAAGTCTTATTCATTAGTTTTTGGTTTTAGTATAAATAGCGTTGTAAAATTTTGGAAAAGCAGTCACCTTTCGGAAACCTAAACTTGCACTGCTAAAGTCTACTATACTGGATCTGTAAGACTGTTGATCAGTCTACCAGTTGACTTTGTAGTGTTTAGACAAAAATGTTTATTTTTGACTCACCTTTTATTTTTTGATATTTTTTTAGAAAACAGTCAGTGTTTCGGAAGCGTAACCTCTCACTACTCACGTCATGATACTGGACCTATAAGACTGTCTACCAGTCTACCAGTTGACTGTGTAGTGTTGAGACAAAATTTATCTCTGACTCATAATTTAACTTTGGAAAATACTTTTGAGAATCTTTTATTTTTGAGACTTTTACATTTTGATTTTGAGATTAAGTTCATTTTATGATTTAGTAGTTTTGGCATTTATTTTACATTTTACATTGTAAGGAGAAATAGTTTTACTTTGGATTTGATATTAAGTTTTGATACTTTGTACTTTAATTATTATTATTATTTGGCATTGTTTACTAATTGATTGTTATCATCATTCATCTAAATTGTTATCGTTAATTAAATTATGAAAACCTTCCTTGCATTTTAGCTATGCCTATCAGAACATTAAGTCTAGCGATAGACTGACCCCCTGTCCCTTGGTTCCAGCACATACGAGTTAGCTCCCCCTTTTCTAACAGTGCTCTGGACCTTGGTGACAGATATATAGAAACTTAAATAAGCAAAAATGATCAGCAAGTCATGAACTACAATTAAGACAAATAGAGGAAATCATCCAATGACTCCTTATTGGAGTTATTGCCCATTAATGATGATTTTCCCCATTTTTTTTGCATTTTGCCTTATATGATATGAATTATAATAGATAAATATACACTTTAAATCACAAAAATAATCAGCAAGTCAAGATCTACTAACAAGTTAAATTGTGCTGATATAGTTAGTAGACTGTCACTCTTTATAGGAGTGATTGCCCTTAAATGAGGATTTTTTTACCCTCTTTTGTGTTTTGAGCAAAAAATAAAGAAGATAGAGAGAAACTAAACAGATTAAATGATTAGCAATACAAAATAAACAAAACAGATATTTTTGTCATGAATTCTTTTCTTGCATATGCACATAGACCAAGGTGAGCGACACAGGCTCTTTAGAGCCCCTAGTTTGTTTCTGTTCTCTAACTTAAGTTTGCCTCAACCAAATGTTTTGAAACTTATACACAATGCTTATTACCACAAAACTCAGATCAAGTACAAATTTGGGTAGCGTCACTTTTACCGTTCTTAAGTTATGTTTCTTTATAACGTTATATGCAAGTGGGGGCATCATCTGTGTCCCATGGACACATTCCCTATTTATTTTTTATGTTTTTGCCATGGCATTGTCAGTCTTTTTCAACTTATGTGTGCAATTATTCCTTAGTTATCTCTTGCCCGTCTTTTAGAAGATATGTTTTCTCAGGCAAAGAAGCTTGAGAGGGGACCTATCATTTTGTCCACTTTTTTGACTGAAACCCTTGAGGGGTTCTGGCCTATATATTCATGAGTTTTGGTAGCTTCTATGGGTATTCAGATATCCTCAGAAACAGTCTTTTTAAAAAGTGTCTTTAAAACAATGTCACACTCCTGACATTATGACTAAAACCAATTCTGTATCAGACATCAGATTCTCAGTGACCTACAACCAATTCTGTACCAATATTCATCAAGGGTATTTTATATATCAGACATCAGATTCTTAGTGACCTACAACCAATTCTGTACAAGTATGCATCAAGGGTATATTTATGTATCAGACATCAGATTCTTAGTGACCTACAACCAATTCTGTGCAAGTGTGCATCAATGGTATGTTATATTCCTGTTATTTTTTGTTTGTTTATTATATGAATAAATGAAGATGTGGGGTATACACCAATTGCTGACTTCCAGTTATTTCAATTTGTATTACAACATTGTGTACAATTGTCTCATACAGATATAACTTTTCAGCTTTTAAGAGAACAGATTGCCCGTCAAAGAGTTGGGACTTCAGATGAAGGCATTAACATCAGACATTTTCCTGCACATGAAAGGGAAGATCTTGTAAAACAACTGGAAGCATCGAGAGAAGAGGTAAAAATAATTGTAAAGTAATAAATTTCTCTGGTGAATTGTAGGTGTCAATCCTAAATCACATTTTCTTACCTATTTGTGGGTTGATATGCATGTTGGGAAGGAAAGATATCTATTGATGTTTCATGTCGCTGGATCCAATGTCAAGGTGACAGCAGGATTATTAATTCTAGATAATATTCTTTTAGTCTTATGAAACATGTGACCAGTTTTGTATATACAGCATTTTGGTTTTTGTCTCCACTGCGACGAAAGCTGTTGAAGGCGAGACATAGGTTAAGTTTTCTGCTTAAGTTAGTTTGATAAGAACTACTTGTGATATATCAATGGTATTATTACAGAAACTTTAATAAACCTTGGTGGATTGTATCTGGAACCAATTATCCTGGACCTTCATATCGTAGGAGATGACATTAAAAAAATCTATTAATATTGCCTATTGGAATATTAAAGGCATTAACTATCAAATTTGTGTTCACCGATTTGACTCAAATTCTCATATTTGATTTATGACATACTAAAACGTATATTCAAATTAAAAGTCTAAAATAAACAATTTACGATGCATGGACTCGATAATATGTATTTATATATATTACTGATAAGTAGATATCTGCAAGTTGATGTTTACCTATAAACAATAACCAGTATCAATACCATACCACATTTATCTATAACTAATATTGATTCTATGAATAGAAACGGAAGTGTTCTTTTTGTGAGGAAACCCATATGCTTACCATTATTAATGCTATAATATCATACACGAAACTTTTAAACTTTTAATTTTATTAACATACTCATACTAAGGCACAATTGTATAAAAACTATACAAATATCATATTCAAAAACAATTTTAAAATACATAGAATAACAATAATTGTATCATTTGGCTTTCTAGGGGCTACTCATTAAAACTTACAATAAACATGATAAAAATAATTAAAATAACACAACTCAAAAACACTACCTATACTCATTAATTGCCTAAATTATGCACCTGTGGTATATCCCAGACAGGTGATGCTTTTTGTTCATAAAAACCTGTTGTAGAACCCAGACAGGTGAAACAATTATACGATCCTGTGGTAGAACCTGGACAGTTGAAATTTATTAGAACCTGTGGTAGAAACCAGACAGGTAAACAATTCTTGAAACCTGTGGTAGAACTCAGGTGAAAAATGCAATAAGCTCCAAGGTAAAACTTGATAAGTTCATGTATTCCTATACATGATCATGCTGAAATCATATTAAAAAAATTGCACTTCCGGTGCAACTACATGGAAAACGAATCTTGAACAGAACTTCGAACATGGTTTGAGACCTACCATCTCCGGTATTATCTCAAGTTTTTTTGCTCGATAATCCTCTAACAGTCTGTATGTGTAGATAGCTGTAGTGTCCGTTACGTTCCCTTATTTAATTATACCATTGTATTTAGAACATATATGTGGGGAAAATTTCAACAAAGCAGTTAATGTGATCACACACACACACACACACACACACACACACAAATATTGTTTACAAAAAATAATATCTGTAGAGTGTACTGTAAATACAGTCTGAAAAAAAGGGGCATATTAATATTATTTTGAAAGTTATATTAATTGTTCTAAGACAAATAGTATTTGTATAATAATTAATATAACTTTCAACTTGGAAAGTGGCAGTCAGGGAAAGGGGGTAGGGGAATCTTCTTGTATCAATATGGGATGGGAGACAGTGGAGAAATGATGACAAGGGAATGAATTGCCATGTTGGTTTTTTTTTCTAAAACCTTAACTGTGAATAGCAGACGAAGTGAACTGCCGCTACTGCATGGATTCCTATGTATGTTTTTAGTTGAACATGTTGAAAATACATATATTGATTGTTGTTAAATTACATTATTCAGTATCCTTACTATCTCGTGTGCAATGGTATATGGTTAAACTATCTTTAAATCGCAATAAACTGGCTGTATAATGCAAAAAAAAAACTATCACGCTGATTTCCAATCAAAACTAAACCAAAAGCTGTCCATGCAAGGGAAATAACTATGTATACACAAAAAGGAGGGTTATTTATAAAAATTAATTTTGATATGAACGCAGCTATCTAGATTTATTTATTGGACCTGATTATTTAATTAATATATTAAACTTAATAAAAAAGTACATTTTATGGCTGTATAACATTCCCTTGTATTTTTTTTAAACGAATGTAACTTTCAAACCCTTGTTTGTACCTCAAATATTTCATCGTATTCCTGAAAATTATAATATACAGAATCATGAATATTCATATAATATCTATCAAAAGCAATCAGAACCTTCTGAGACTTAACAAGTTAATAGAAGGCCGTAATCGGAGGTCACCCAAAGATTTTATTTTTACACACATCTGGGAACAATTATTTAGGGTAATTTGGAGTTATCTCCCATTGGTTTGCCATACCTAATATATGCATGATTTTAAATTCCTCTAGAAAAATCCATTTTCAAATAATCCAATGCCAACAGTATTTTCGACTTTTAGATGTATATCTATTTTCTTTCTCTTTTTCATATAGCATCTTTAGTATAAATAGTATAATAAATCTCAAAAACAAGTATAAGATGATTGTTTCTGACTCTGTTCATTGTTTTCAGTTATATATATTAATTCATTTTTATACGACCCCAAAAAATTTTGCGGTCGTATATTGGAGTCACGTCGTCTTCGTCCGAAGACAGTTGGTTTCCGGACAATAACTTTTGTATAATTAAATAGAAATCTATAAAATTTAAACACAAGGTTTATAACCACAAAAGGAAGGTTGGGATTTATTTTGGGGGTTATGTTCCTAAGAGTTTAGGAATTAGGGGCCAAAAAGGGGCCCAAATAAGCATTTTTCTAGTTTCCAGACAATAACTTGTGGAACGGTGTTATGGATCTCCCTGAAATTATACCACAAGTTTCCATACCACAAAGGGATGGTTAGGATTTGCTTTGGGGGGTTATGGCTCAAACTGTTTAGGAATTGGGGGCAAAAAAGGGGGAAACAGGGCCTAATCTAGGATTTTGAAGAGGGAGAAGTGACTTCTCCTTCCATGAGAGAAGGGAGAAGTGGTCAATTTCTTGGAGAAGTGAGATTCCATTACCGTTTCGGTTGCATCGTGTTTTCATGATTATCACTAAGGAAATTGTTTTAACTTCAATAAAAGATATACTTGCAGTTTTTTCATATGTTATTGTACACCATGTATATATAGAAAGTTCTTAATAAAAAGGTTTAGACAATTTATAGTTGTTATTTATTTATTGATACCATTGTGTTGAACTGTTCTAAATAAAATTTGTTGATTGGGACATGAGGGAGTAGCCTAGTAATATTATCATGATTTTGATGCATTAAATTCATGTGCATCTGCCTCAATTTATTTTTAAAACTCCAGACAAATATGACTCCCAGTTTACCTGATGAATTTCACATGACCTGGTTAATGGACAATTACTTAAGACAATTTAAAAGCAGTGTAAGGGAGGTAATCCAAACACCATGTTTTGAATACCTCCCTTACACTGCTTTTAAATTATGTATAAAGAAATGTTGTATTGTCTTGATATGATTAGCTGTCAATTTATTTTTAGCTCACCTGGCCCGAAGGGCCAAGTGAGCTTTTCTCATCACTTGGCGTCCGTCGTCCATCGTCGTCGTCCGTCGTCGTTATCTTTTACAAAAATCTTCTCCTTTGAAACCACTGGGCCAAGTTTAACCAAACTTTGCCACAATCATCATTAGGGTATTTAGTTTAAAAAATGTGTCCGATGACCCCGCCAACCAACCAAGATGGCCGCCATGGCTAAAAATAGAACATAGGGGTAAAATGTAGATTTTGGCTTATATCTCTGAAACCAAAGCATTTAGAGTAAATCTGACAAAGGGTAAAACTGATAATCAGGTCAAGATCTATCTGCCTTGAAATTTTCAGACAAATCTGACAACCCGTTGTTGGGTTGCTGCTCCTGAATTGGTAATTTTAAGGAAATTTTGCAGTTTTTGGTTATTATCTTGAATATTATTATAGATAGAGATAAACTGTAAACAGCAATAATGTTCAACAAAGTAAGATCTACAAATAAGTTGCCATGACCAAAATTGTCAGTCGACCCCTTTAGGAGTTATTGCCCTTAATAGTCAATTTTTCAACAATTTTTTGTAAATTTTTGTAATCTTTTACAAAAATCTTCTTCTCTGAAACTACTGAGACAAATTTGACCATACTTGGCCATAATCATTATTAGGGTATCTAGTTTAAAAAATTTGTCCGATGACCCCGCCTTCCAACCATCATGGCCGACTTGGTTAAAAATAGAACATAGGGGTAAAATGCAGTTTTTGGTTTATATCTCTGAAACTAAAGCATTTAGAGCAAATCTGACAGGTGGCAAATATGTTACTCAGATTTAGATTTATCTGCCCTGAAATTTTCAAAAATTTGTTGGGTTGCTGCCCCTGAGTTAGTAATTTTACAAAAAATTTGTAGTTTTTTGTTATTATCTTATATATCATTATAATATCTAATACTATTAATTATGATTTTAACCTTATTTTACATGATTTCCAAAGCATCAGTAAATACAGGTGAGCGACACAGGCTCTTGAGAGCCTCTAGTTAGTAGTTACTATTAAGGAATATTAATTTCAGCCATGATTATGTATGTCATTTTCTATTTTAAGACTTTTATGATGTATTTAAATGGGTAATTATGGTTGCAAACTCCTTTGGAAATTTGAATTGAGATTATGACCATATCTTGAGGGAAAGAATTTTTTATTGGGGAAAAAGGGGGGGTCAATACGCAACAGCATAGTGTATTGCACAAAAGCCAAAAAAAAGGGGGGGGTAAATTTTTTTTTTTTTGTGGGGGGAGATGGGGGTCATTTCGCAACAGCAAAGTGTATTGCACATAAGCAAAAAATTTAATATAAATTCAAATCATATAAACAATTCTAAGTTTTTTGACTACAATTA